TACCAATCACTTACACAGACTTGTGCAGCTCGGTCAGTATTTCCTCGATGTAGTTCGATTTTATGGCTTCGTACAATCCGATCAGTTCACGAAGGAAATGGTTGTAATCTTCCCCGGGAGTCTGGAACAAGAATGGTCAAACTTTAGGTGTATCCCATGGTAGGGCTAATAGCATACACTTGAAAGTCCGCACTCGGTTTAATATAACCCTTCAAGAAATAGGTTTTTGGGAGTAGTTGTTTATCAGCCGAAAGTATGGTATCAAGGTGCATTGCTGAGTTCAAAGAGGGCCGAATAGCTGTTCAGTGCTCTTTGTCGATCATCATGATTTCGGTTGCAAATAAAAAAACGTTCTATATGCCTGGAGTAAATGAACTTCTATGAATGGATTTGCGCCAACAGGAGGATCATGCAGGGCAGCCTATGTCTGTGGAAAATCAAACAATAACACAAATAACATTCTCTAACAAGAAACGAACATTTGAAATTAATGGTAAAAAAGCCTGAGTTCACAGACAATGGAGGTAATAACAGCCGTCTTCACTCGATGTAATTTTATACCATCATAGTGTGGTTTTTAAGTATGCAGTTGATTGCGATAAACTGCACGATGGCATCCTTTGCATTTCGGCAACGTTTGAAGGTGGCTAAAAAGCAAGTCTATCAAATACACATCCAAATTTTATGACCTATGTACCTAGATTTTGAACTCAGTTTTTTTTAGTGTACCAATCGAGCCTTATGTATGTTGTGCCGACACATCGTCTGTGACGCGTCCGTCGAAAAAGCAAAATTTGTAAATTTCCTCAGCTAACTCTCCAGTTAGAGTGGGGTTACAGGCTGGGCCGACCCAATATTGTAGCAGCATTTTACGCTTTGGAGGTGCAAACGCATACCGAACATGGCTACAATAGCACTCCAACTATCCAGAAAAGCTTGCAACCTACCTGTATCTTCGCTTAGCAACACAATGTCATTTGCATACTCCATATCAGACAGACCGCTATCTGGGGGTAAATCAATGCCGCTATCCTCGCACGAGGATAGGGCTGTTTTAATAATTAAATCGATGGCAAGTTAAATAGAAACGGAGAGAGTGACCAACAATGATGAACATCACTCCGTAGTGAACTCGGCGAAAAAATGCAATACGCTTAGACCCGGCGTCGGCTGTTAGTATAAAGAGATCGCAAAGTTAGGTTCTCGGATACACCGTTCCGGGCAAAGCAGCGCCGGAATTTAAAGCGATCGACTGAGTCGAAGACCGCTTTCAGATCGGGCAGGGTATAAATGGTGGGTCTGCGAAAGGAGTGTCTGTGTTCTAGAATTTGACGAAGATGGAAGATTCGGTCTATACGACCTCAACCTAAATCCAGCCTGATTCTCAATTGTGCACAAGTTACATGCGGTAGACAATTTTCGGAGCATAACACCAGCGAGAAGTTTAGAGACAATGTCGATTAAACTAATTCATCTGTGGTTTTCGTAAGAGAATCTCAAATTTCTTGT